GTCCGCGGGGCGGTGGGAGAAGCTCAAACTGGCGAGGTCCTGCACGCGCGGCTCGGAGGGCTGTTCTGCAGGCACTGGTGGCGTCGGTTTCCGTTTCTTCTCACGGGTCGTTTGGACGTGTGTGAGCGTGTAGTGAGGTTCTGTTCTGTGCGTTGCCGTTTTTACTTAACATGTGTTGGAGTTACTCCCATTTCTAAACATAAATGCTTTCTCACTCTTAGAATTATTCTGATTGTAGAATTCCATTATATGGATGTCTCATACTTTAACCGTTTTCTTGTTGAAATAGCTTCTGATCTTTAGTTATTACAGATAATGCTGTGTTCAGTAACCTTGTTTGTACCTTCCTTTTTGGATAAATTTCTGGTAGTGGAACTCCTGCGTCTCCATTTCTATTGTCCCCCATAAAGGTTGTGCAATTACTACTCCTGCCGGCGTCTACACAGTAACTGCACATTTTGGAATCCTTCCCTAGGAACTGAACCTACAAATGGAAAAATCTTAAGGCCCATAGTTGTTAGGAAAGTAACTGAAATGACCAGTAATGGACAATTATTTAAGTAAACAGTGGTATGTTCACTTAATGCGTTCTTACACAGCTATCAAAAATATTGAAGAGTTTAATAAAGAGATACCAAGAAACTTACTGACCTCACTGTCTGCCAGACTGTACTAGGTATGAGGACGAAGCAGGGGCCAGACCAGGGCTTGCCTCTGTGGCGTCACTCCAGTTTCAGAATCTGCAGGCAGTTGTGAGTGGGATGTGGGATAAACAGTGACCTGGTCTACCAGGTGCTGCTCACGGCCCCACTGTCATTCAGTAAATCCTTGCTACCACTCGCCCCCAAAACAGGAGGCAAGGGGGTGTCAGTGAGGAGCAGTCAGTTTGCATGGGCTGTCTGCAGTTTGGAATTTCTGCCTTTTGAGTATTTTAGGGCTCTTCCATGACATTACCCTTTGTTTCCATTTTCCAAGCAGCTTGCATGATTGCTTCTCAAGTCCCCTACTACCAGTAGCACATACTTTATCACCTTCACCTTCAATATAGTCTTGACATCTGGTAAAATTCAGTGACAAGTATCTTATGTAGATGAGAAATGCAAGGAGTACCCTGAGTAACACCTTGTATTAGTAACATTGTCACCCAAGTCGGCACTCAGTGTGGTGGTAACTTCTACAACGTGGTGTTTTTTCCAACACCAGCAAGCAGTTCTTCACTTTTCCACAGACACTGACTGGGTATCAAATTTAACTGAATTCTAACTGCTTGCCTGGAGATTGCACCAGACTCCACAGGCCAAGGGCTCAGTCCCACGAGACGGCCCCCACTTCAGATGCCAACCCAGGTTGTCACCTGTGCTTCTAACCAACCGACTAAAAATCGGAGGTTCCCATGACCCCCTTCTCTGGTTTGATTAATTTACTAGAAGGGCCCACAGAACTCAGAAAGCAATTTGCTTACTAGATTACTGGTTTATTACAGAGGATATTAAAGGATACAAATCAACATCCAGATGAAGAAACACAGGGGGAGGTTCTGAACATAGGCATGTCCCCTGTGGGGGGTGGAGTCTGGCATGTGGACCCTTTCTGGTTCACCAACCTGGAAGCTCTCTGAACGACCCCCCTTTATGGGTTTTCATGGAGGCTCCACCCCTCTAATCATGGGTGGTTCCCCTGGCCACCATACCCCCATCCTTGGGGGATTTTCTAGAGTCACCTCATTAACACAGACTCCGCGTGGTCGTGGGAGACTTGTTACGGATAACAAGACACCCATTTCACTT